TGTGGGAGCTTTGCGAATATTGAAACTCAATTCAATATTATGTGTACAATTATTTAATTATGACATCCTGGTATCACGGACTTGCTCTCGTTTCATACAAACACAGCTGCTGCCATTTTGTGATGATTGTTTTGTACACTGTAATGGATTATAAGATGTAACTAACAAACTGGTAAGATTTTATAACATTTTTATCTTAAATCAATATCTTTTATCGCGTTAATTATATAACATTTTCATCTTAAATCAGTATATTTTATCATGCTAATTATGTGTTGAAATGCTGTGTAATAAGTGAAGGAAGAATGACTGGAGGATGCAAGAGAAAGAAGTGGGTATTTAGGATGTTGAGTGTCAGGAATAAAGGATATGGAAGTGGGAAGCCTAATCTAGAGCTTGTGGAAAAAAGGTCTCAAAGACATCTTCGTCCCCTTGATCGCCCATCATGTAAGTCCTGGGTCCTCTGTCATCAGTGACGAGTGGCGTGCCCACTGCATACTGTCGGTTCTAGGGTCTGATCATCATACTGTTAACCACAGGAAGTGGTATGTACAGTAGACCCACATTCAGGTGCACACACCCAGCATATTGAAAGAGCCTGGAGAACATACAAGGACCAGATCTGGAGGCTTAGGAGGAACCGGACTGAAAGCTTGCTATCTGATCACCTCACTGTAATTGAGTGGTATGAATGGCTTGCTAGAAAACACCGTGATGGGGCCTTTAGTAGAATAATTCATGACATTTCAAAACTGTATAAGTAAGTGTGTGTGTGTGTGTGTGTGTGGTACTCCAATGGTGGTGATGTTTCTATCTGTCAGGCCATCTTTTCTTCGTCATGTCAAGCCATGTTAATAAAAATAAATGAGTTATGATTTCGGTATGACCTGTGTTGTGTCTGCTTTGATCCTTACAAAAGAAGGTTAAGCAATGGCCAACTTTTAAAGTAATTGATCATTAATAATTGTTTTTATTAGGGTTAAATAGTATTCACTTTAGATTAAGTCATGCAAAATGTTTAATTGTCATTAATTAATTGCTTTAATACTACCTTTATTATACGTTAATACCATGAATAATTTTTTTTTAATGTTTACAAAGACACTAATTAAGCATTAAATGTGCATCAATTCACTTTATACATAAGCATTTATTTACTGTTAATCAGAGGCGGACAGTAACTAAGTACATTTACTTCAGTATTGTACTTAAGTACACTTTTTGAGTATCTGTACTTTACTTGAGTATTATTTTTTCTGGGAACTTATGACTTTAACTTCACTACATTTGAAAGACAAATATTGTACTTTTCACTTCACTACATTTCTATCAAGGTCCTCGAAGTAGAAAGTCGTTACTATGTAGCAGCTTTGAAAGTCAGTAGGTGATTTTTTTCTTCTCTAAAACTTGACTTTCTTTTTTTCAGACAGTTTCAGTAATCACTCTTGTAGGGCTACATGAAGTGATTTCCCAGCATTTTTTGAACACTGACCAGTTGCAAATGTGATATTTATTTACAACAATTCAATAATAAGAAGTTAATATTGTGGTATATATTAGACACAATATTGTCTGATTTTGCCAAATTGTGTAAGTGAAAATATTACCTATAAAGCCACAGAAGAACTGTGCGTCTCCTAATAAAACACAAAAGGTGTTGGACTTGAAGCAGCACTGCACAGACTATTCTGTGTATGACATCAAAGTACAGCGAGAGTGATTAGACAGCATTTTTAAAAGTTTTGTTTTGATGTCAAATAAGTCTTGCTGTTTTGCTTTTTTGTTAAAGCAGTGTTGCTGTTGTCAAATTATACAGCTACAGTTGTGTTGCTGGGTTTTACAGCAGGTTTGATTTTTTTTCCGTCCTTATCACTCTGTATTTACAGGATTTCACTGTCCACTCTGTTCAAATGTGGACAAATGGTTACACATAGATTACGTCAGAGCTGTGTGAGATCACTACCATCCTGCTTTTGTGGGGGTGGGTAGGGGTGTTAATTTTTTTCCCCCCATAGGTTTTTAACATTCTAAAAGCTCTTTATTCCAAAGATACTACAAGCTAGTCAGTGTATTCAGCAGGTGTAATGTATTCTAAGTTGCTTCAGAAGTATTGCAAGTATGACGTACAACAATAAAACTTACTTTTGGTACTTAAGTACTTTTAAAAGCAAGTACTTCTGTACTTTTACTTAAGTAAAAATCTGTCTTTACAACTTTTACTTGTAATGGAGTAATATTTGACCAGCAGTATCTGTACTTTCACT